AATTTACGTTTTTACGCGTTAATTTTAACGTAAAACTAAAAACGTAAACGTAAACGTAAAAACCAAGCCTGATTACTTGAGCACATTGTGTCCTAGGCCTACCGCAAACACGGCATCCAAAACCAAGGCAAAAGCACGGCAGCAAGATATCCGTCAACGCTCAATCCACGCTTAGCTAAAACACAGCAAACGTTCCTTCCACAAACGCTCAGCTCGATGCAGCATAGTGTCGCTATGTCAAGCGGATCGAAAGCACAAATCCGCAGCCTGTGGCTATCTCCTAAATGTACGCCGCCCGAAGTTAGATCACACAATACTGCCGTTCTCATGGTAGAAGTGATAGGTCGCCATCGATCCATCACTACCTCGAAGATATTAGTGTGCTGACGGCAGCGGCACCCACGTCTGTGAGAAGACGCTGCAAAGGTCGCGATCCGTATGCTGCCGCATGAACGACGCACGATGTTGTAAGCGGGCGCACATTCGTATTTATGCACTCGCAATCTCGACCACACTGGGACCGGGTTGGGCAGAGCGGCATTTCGCTTTTGAGCTCGGTTAGTGGCTGGTTGTTCTACTATAAGCATTATGTGTGCTAATCAAGAGCATATGAGGAGCTCGCATGACGCAATTATCATTGTGTTGAAGCACTGGTGCTAATTCGAATTTCTCCAACGGCAGCTCGTCAGGGGGCATTCCATGCTCTCGCGGGCGGCTCACGGGGAATCTGGATTAACAGTGCGCGTACTTAAAGTCCAAACCCGGGGGATTTCAAAAGTGCAAAATTGCGGGAAAGGCGGGAAGAACTCCTCCGTGGTCGACAGCAAATACTGCCGATACGTGGCGGGCTGGTGCCGCCGGCGGAAGCGGCGGTCACGACAAAATTCGCACCGACGTCGGCATTTCCCAGATGGTGCGCCATGGCGACTCGCGCCAGATACACCTCTTCATTGTTGCCATTGGATCGCCGCGAGCCGCGTGACCAAGTACTTGCCCCGGCGCGCCGCAGCCCGCTGCGCCCATCCGAGGCTCGATCTTTCGCAGCGCCCAGAGGCACACCCATTCAGAGGGGCGCCCTCATGCCCGCTTGGATCGACACCATCGCAGCCTGAAGGCTCCCCGCGATAGGCCAAGCTTCGCCTTGGCTTCCGGCGCCGCTTCGAAGCGATTGAATTCCATTGTGCTGCCATTCCTTGGCAAGGTGCCAAGCGTGGCGTTGAAGCGATGGCCCTGCTCGCCGTGCACTGGGCAATGATCGCTGCCGCCATCATGGCGGCGCGCACCTTGGCTGGTGGCGCGAGGGTGCTGCCCAATGGCGATCCGTGCGTCTTCCCCATGGAGTTCACGGTGAGGGCGACCAGGGGCGCGATGGGCGATGGGCGAGACAATTGCGATCTGCCGCGTGCATCAAGCACCGCCCAATTCAAGCAGTTCCGTCCCAAGGCTGGGGGGGGGGAGGAAAGTAGGTGCTGCCAGTGGAGGCTTGATGATTTGCGCTCATGCTCGCGAATCGAATGAATTTTTCCATATGAAGTAGGGTCAAAACTTGGACTTCCTTGAGATGTCCTGATCACACTGAATTCACAAGGGACGATGTGGAGAAGACACGCACAACGGCGTTCCGCGCAGGCTTTCCAGCCAGATCGTGGGCAAGTGCTGTGCCTCCTTACATGCGCCAGTGGGGTGCTGCAGCGATGGACGGTGGCGAGAGAGCCTCAAGCACGAAGGAATGAAACCACGTGCTTCCTTTCGAGAGGGAGCCGCCTGCTTGACAATTGTGTCTGCTTGAACACAGGGAACAACATACAACGAATGCGCAAAGTTACCCGATGGTGGCGAATGGTGTAAGGGCCCCGACGGCGGGTGGGGTTTGTGCGTCGATCCCTTTGACAGCATCTTACCTTCACCCAACAAGACGGTGAGTTAACAGGCCTCGAGGATGGGAAGCCTGGGAAATGCACACACATCGACACGTTAGGTTTGAATCGCTCGCCCCAAACTTTTTTCAAGGACAACACCGCGATGGCAGTAAATGATCGTACCTTTAGAGGAGCATATCGTTGCGCTGGTGCCAAGGAATGTGGCCCAGCGCTAAATCCATGTCGAAGCAATTGTATCACTTGCACTGGAGCACGTACCACATTTCCATTGAGTGCATTGCTGAAGTGTGCTTGCAGACAATACCCGCTCTCCTCCCTTCGTCTGGCGATGGCAGGGATCTCACGTCCCTGTACTACGGAGAGTGCTGCAAACTGCTTGCCAAAATGGGATTCCAGAGCAATATGCCCGTGGTTGTGCTGGACACCCTCGGTCAGCCAGTTCCGAACGAACCGAAGGCCAACGCAAGAATGTGCACATGCGGCGCCACGGGTGCGTGTCCTCCGCTCACAGTGCATAGAATTCAAAACCAGTCGCCAAGTTTAAAATAAACGCATGAACGTTTCTGGCCGCACGCAGCCGCTGGCGCATGAGCTATTTGCTGCTCTGCGTTGCACGGTTAGACGCTCGCATTCATAGGGCAGCAAGATCGGTGCTCACGGTCGCCATCTGCTAAATTGTGCATTTGACTTTACCAGATTTCTTCTGGCTGAAGAATTTTTATCTCAAAAAATACTGCGCGAAATTGTGATCAATTTCATTCAAACACAATTGGACCGGTATTGGGCGCGGACCATGCAGGAGCGCTTTTTTAGAGCCATATTCCTAGAGCCACGCGCTCACCGTGCAGGACTGGGACGACCGCTCGCCACGGCGACTGCTACTCGCCAAAATACTGCTTCCAACTGGAATGCAAGGGCCTCTAAAGTTGAGCAACGCTCTGTCATTTGTTGAGCGTTACTGACTTGATGCCAGCGTGTTTTCATAAGGCAATGAGTACGATGGAGATATCGGGATTGAAATACGTGGATCAACATCTGCAAGAGACTACGCCAAGAAGTCATTTGGTATTGAGACAAGACAAGGAAATGAGACTTCTTTAGATTTCCCCTTGCTTGGTGAGTTAGGATCTGAGTTTGCTTATTCACACAGATGCAAACACGCCCCGAGCGAGTGCCCAATTTCATTAAGATTTGATTATATGCTTACCTTTTCATGGCAAAGCAAGCTCTTTTACCAACTTGCATCTGGAAATTCGGCAGGCGTTGATGCAATATTGATGAAGGTTGATGCAAGGGGGCGATTGAAAAAATGGCCCTCAATATTGGTGAACTGCCCTTGAAACAATGGCTCTTGGCGTCGGCGTTTAACAACCCTCCAACAAGGCATCTTGATGCAACATTCCCAAACAAGCAGTGTTCCCGCAATGCTGCATCAACGATCCCATTATCAGCCCGGAAATGCGTCCAGAAATTTGGCAGGCATTGGTGCACCATCGATAGGCTCTTGGATCAATGCGAACCTTCAGAGCTCGTGCCTGCAGAGCGGCGTTGATGCAATATCATGTCAATGTTGTATCAACGCCTACCAAATTTCCGGATGTGGAGATGTCGGGCACCGCACGTGAGTCAGATGAAGCATTAGCCATTGATGATGATCCCCCGATCGCATATGTTGCTGCTGAATTTCAGGCTCGCCTGGTTGCAATTCCCGTCACAAAATTTGAATGGACATACCATATAGCTCGCAGTTAATTGCAATGCGGTCCTCCGTTGCCGAGGATGGCCTGCTGCCCCAGAAAATGAGCCGAGGCCCGCCATGCTCACTGAGCGTGCTGTGCGTGGGCATAGGACTGCCTGAAGACAATGATTGGGTTTTGTACGGGCCCGAGGCAGATAAGACAATGGGAATGCGCAATTTGATTACGTACGCCCTGGCCCGGGCATCTGGTCGATATGCAGCACGTACCAGGTACTGCGAAGTGTTCCTTGTCGCAGACGGTGGCAAATTGAGCAAGAGGCACTATCATGGCGTCTACATTCTCGCCGAAAAACTGAAACGCGGGAACGAGCGAATTGACATTAAGAAGCGGGAAGGTGACGATCTGTCAGGTAGGGCCCGCGTTATCCCAATGATGTGCGCGCAGTGCCTTCTGAGAAGTAGCGATTTTGTGGCAGGGCCCAACTATGAATTTTCACTTCTGCATCACACAGCGTTGGGTCCTTAAAGTTCTATAAGGTTTTTTGGAGACGAATCGCGTTTCCGTTGCCGCATGATGCTGCATCGTACAACTGGTGGAGCACCAATTTGCAACTTTCTGATTTGTTGGAGCAGAACAAAAAAAATGTACGAGGTAGCGGACATGGACGCGGCCAGTTTAGCATGCGCCTTTCAATTATCGTCCTGCCCCAGAACTGCGTATAGTTCAAGTGAACTCATGCGTTGCCAAGGCACGTAAAACTGTCCTTCCACTTGATATGCAATGTGAGGGGTATGCCAGCAAAGCAAATGGCCGTCTCCACAAACACCGAATTAACTTAAATCCATTTGTCAAACCTGAATTCATGGCGACGCTGCATCCGTAATTGTCGTCAGTACGATGTTTCGAGCAATGACGAAATTTCATAATGCATCTCCCGTACGATATCCTACGAGATCCATTGATGGAGATTTGCCACGCATACCTGGCCGCAACCAAGAACAGACTATGAATCCAGAGCTTTTAGGCAGAATAGAATTAGCAGAGCATGAGAAAGTTTTCACGATCACTGGACAGACTGGCTCCATGTCTTTCCCTGCTGCAGCTGCATGCAAGAAGGTGATGCGTTAGGTGCGTTGCCCACAAAAGAGCGCGATTTCTTGGACATCTGTGCAAATTCCTGAGATTTGCAGTTGTGGCGCGGCCCTACATTGCATCGAGCGGCTCGCTGTCTGTTGTCTGCCAGGTGGATACATCTTTAAGTATGACAACGATAACAATGATCCTGGTGACACTGTATTCGCGGCTTCTCTATCTAATTTGCTCATGATTGTGACATATCCGAAATCGAAAGCCATCAAGGAGAAAGAGGTTTCATGGATCAAAAGGTGAGGGTCGACGTGAGGCCCCTCGACGTTTTTGTGCATCGCTCTGCACTGTTCAATTTCAGCATCTACGCAATGGTCGCAGAATGCTCAATCAACTTGTTTGATTCCACCATCCATGCTACGGCTTCAACGCAGCGAGTATGCACGGAGCACTTGCGCATTAGGTTTGAGCACAAATCTATGGGTTTTTTGCAGCCCCTCATGTGGACGCAATGTTGCTGAAGTGAGTTTTGAGCTCATACCGTTCTGCCCATTTGAAACAGCTATTGAACTGACTTCCCCCATTTGCATCCTCCAGTTATGTGGACAGTTTTGAGGCCGCACTCATAGCTGAGGAATTCGATGATCCTGTTGAGGGGTATCTGCCGTTCATTGACCTACCTAGTTTCGTCGACTACTGGATTGTGTCCGAGATCAGCAAGAATCCAGATTCTTATCGTGGATCCGCCTTCATGCACAAGGTAGCGACTCAAACATCGAAATGCCCCGACTTGCAGATCACCTATCGTTTCCACGCGGTGCGCAAGGAGTTTCTCAAGAACCGAGAAGTTTCTTTTGAAGCGAACTGACAGCCAACGTTGTTGCGCAAACAGTCCACAGAATTGTAGGCCTGCACCGAATCACCAAGAACCGAAAGAACGGGAAAACGGAAAGAAGACTGTTGTTGAAAGGCGCTTGCTGGATGTGACAGAAAATGCTACTCTTAACAAGCTTGCGGGAGTGGCGGCATCCAACAAGCATCATTGTCAATGTGTTTCCAATGGCGATATTATTAACAGAGCCCATGTGTACGTTGACCGTTTCCTGAGATTTCGAAAGAATGCAGGATCGGGGAGGCCCTTTGAAAATGGGTCCCGTTTGGGACTACAATGAAGCCTTCGGGACTTGCTGCGGCTTCCCAATCGAGGGTTTTCAGAATAACGGCAGAAGTACCGGTCGCAGTGGGGGGAGTGCCATTTCGCCCGAGGGTTGGAGATTCAGCATATGCGCAGAGCCCTGGCGCTGCAGAGTGGATCCACTGGACGGCGTGTCTTTGTGGTACAGAAGGTTGTGGCAGGTGAGTGTTGTACACACTGGGCATCGGGGCGGGCAACGCAGCTCCCCACCTCCGTCATTTGGCATGTTCCAACGGCCACCCAAAAGGGTTTGGTGGCAGCTGGGGGCGGCACATCGTGCCCTGAAACAACGTGCATGTTGCGTCTGCCGCTTCATGTTTAGGACCCGTCATTCCGAGCCAGCGCAGAGGTTAGGTGGACGAGGCTGAGGGCTGGAGCCTTCAGTGACGAACGCGTGAAGGGAATCATTGCCGACGCCAGGCTTGGGCTCAAGGACGCTGCCCTTCGCAACTACAAGCGGTGAGTGTTCACACCAGCGCGACATCAACCCAGGCGCATTCTGCCGCACAGAGATTACTCCCTCCGGTCGAATTCCTGGACAAGTCGCGTCCCTTAGGCGGCAAAGACCCCAGCAGCAAGCTCAGTTCCCCTCTCTGGGGTACCTCGAGTGATACGCTTACCTGCGTTTGGATCATCCAGCAGTCCAACCCTGGTGGCATGACCACGGGACCAACTGACGATGTGCGCGTTCCGGTACTATTGTCGTTGTAGGTGGAAACGCGTTCTGGGGGGCGGCAATGATGCCAAGAACGCGAAAATATGGCAGGCTGAAGTTGATGCCCTGGAGACGTGGCTCATGGAGAGGCTCTTGTGGATGGACGCACAGCTCCTTGGCGAGCTCCCTTCTCTTGGCGAGATCCCAGATTCGAGCGATGGGGGACAACATCAACATCAGCATGAGCAAGGAGATGCTAGCGTGGGCTGAATGGAGTCCTTATGGTTATGCAAATTGACTAATCTATGCCGCCTTGAGGCACCTTTTTCCCCTCTCCCCCGCAAAGAAAGTTTTGGCTGCAGGAGTAGTGAAAGTCCATATGTTTGCTTGCCACACGGTTCAAGCCCGCCAGGATTTCAGGCGGCATGCCCGAGCTTCACTTTGTCCTCTGGCCAAATTCTGGACGCCAGCCAAGGGACCTGGTCCTGTGGTCCTCGGATCTGCGGGTGGTTTGGTGTAATTTACAATATTCATAACGACGAACCATGGCATTTACTGTCAGAAGTCTATCGGCGAGTTTGCAACATAGACATTCATGAAGTTCCACTGTTTCGCAGTAGACAGAGGGCAGACAACTGTGTAAATTCCAAAACCACATATTGCATCGCAATGCCCTCGAAGGCCATGCTCATTTATGGACGATGTTACACTGTGCACCAGGCCCACAGGTGCATGTACAAGATGCTTGACTGTCTTAGCAGGAAATTCAGCACACCATTTTTCACACTGGACTACACATCAAGTGGAGTACCTGGCTGCGCAACGCCTGCAATTTAGCTCCAAAATTCCAAGCAGAAAAGGATAGCAACAACAAAATCTGGTGATTTATTTGTGCAGAATCTGGTCACACACAACGCTGGAGATCTCACATGGGAGATTGATTTGGAACCAATGGAACCATGTGTGTTAGTTGCTTGAAGGCCAGATTGTGATAGATGCAATTGGGGTTTCTGCTGGCATGATGACTGCTGGGACATTGTCTCTTGCAGTGCAAGCCTCCAACGTTACTACGCATCTCGATAGTGTTCATTCATTCTGGGGCCTTGGCATTCTTCATCCAGCTTTCATTGCTTCAGAACACTTGTTTCTTGTCCAATGCCATGAATGGCTGAGGGGGGTGTACAGGGTGTTCAGCAACATTGCAGCAGTTCCCTATTGTTCCCTAGTTTGGTGCTAAGAGCCCTGTATCAACAAAGAATGCCATGGGGTGGATGGCAGACTGCAGACTGCAGACCAGGCGGTGCTGAATATCAAAGGTCTGTTGTTCCAAGCAAGATTCGCTCAGACTGAAGCACAGTGGTCAGCCTGCTTCACTTGGCGGAAACAAGTTCAGTCAGTGTTGCTGCAACATAAAGTATGGATGCCATGCAGCCATATAGTGCTGAAGCATCTCAGGCAGCAAAAATGGGGGGCCACATTTTCTGTAGGCCATGGTTGCCCCCAACAGTTTGCCTGTGGACTGTGTACATTTGGTACCCAGTGCCCTGGAAGAACTTCGGTTGCAGCAGCTCATGGCCCACAGCCAACTGCGAATGAATTTTAAGCAAGGCAGGCCAATTTTCTCTGTGCACAGTAACAGATGTCTCTGCATGGGCAGCCAGGGCATGACTGCATAAGAAATTGACACGGTTCAGCAGCGATGCCTGCGATGCCTGCATGCTCTTCAAGGTATCCACATGACAATAGGGGCATGGCCTGACAGCTGCCACAGCAGACTGTCAACCGCGTGACCAAAACAAGCTCTGCTTGCACATGGCGACTGGTCTTGGCAAAAAATAGCCAGCACTCCATTAAACCAGGCCACGATGGGCACACCGTGAACAACAACTTCATGCCTTTGTTCCCCATTGTGTCTGCAGCTGCTGGTGAAAATTGGTTTGCCATGAGTGTCCACACTGTAGAAGGACGATGCATCGAAGAGACAACCTCAACAACTGAGGTTAGAGCACGGCACAGTGCATGGCATATAAATCCTTCAGGAAAGCATCCACTGCTGCTCCACACCATGCGGCATCTCATCGGCCTTCCTACTTGATGTATTTTGCCTTGAGCTCTTGTACAAACCTGCCAACAATGCAGTGGTCAGATTCTGCAGGATGCAAAAGCCCATGAACAACTCAGGGTGCCAATACTACCCAGGTGTGCTGTGCGATGGCAACTTTCATGTCCACTTAAACAACACAATAGAGGCTGGTCAATTAGCACTGTCACACGTGCCGCTTCCACCTGTAATGACATATATACGGGAAACAGCGTGGATAGCTCTGCATAGATGTGCCAAGTCATCATAGGACATGCCTTTGACTTGGCACAACAGCAAAAGTGTTCATGCTCCATTGTTGAAGCATCAGGAGCCCCAGCCAACCGCTTGCACATATTGTTCTATCACATTGACTGCAACTGGTGCTTCCTTTCTTGTAAAGGCCATACACGTTGCTGTGCTCAAGGATGGCCATTCGTTTGCAGTGACAAGTCATCGGGTGCTGCTGTCCATTCAGCACATTGCCTGGCCAACTTACTCTATATACTCCTTCATGGCGGTCTCTTTGTCCTTTCCTGAGGCAGAACCATGCACTGGTGAGCTTCGCCTTGGTGCAAGAGTCAAATGTTTCTGAAGATGCAAGTGATACAGTGACGACCACAAATGATAGCTATGAACAAGGATGCTTCCAGCAAATCAGAATGTCCAATCTACAAGGCTGGTGCTGCCATCGTCGATGTGCGTGGACATCGCTGACCCTGTGGCCATCCAGACAGCACAACTGGACATTTACTATTTAGAGTTCATATCTGCACTGGGTGTGGCGGCCACAATGGCAGAGTCTGCTTCACTGAGCCTTTGTGAGCTCCTAAGGACCCATTGCAAAGGGCACATTATGCTAGCAAATGGCAACATTTCCGGCCTTGGGCACAACAAAAATGTTCTGTGCAGCCACACCTCTGTACGCTACTCCCTGGCTTCTGAACTGAAAGGACAAACACCCAAACAAGAGGGCCACCAGCGTTGGCTGTTGCAGTCTGAATGTCCTAGAATGAGGTGGAATCGCACTGCAGGCCTGGTTCGCATTGAGTAACCTGTGCATTGGAAGGGAAATGCATCATCGCTGCACATGCAACGCGATTACCTTTCTGGCTTGTCCATGCATCCCACTTTCTGCGCCCTTTTTGGTCCAAGATCCCTGGGCGCGCTGCAAAAGGCAGCAATCGTCCATCTCAGACTGGAGGCATTGGTATTCCGTGGCCAGGGGCTGGACAAACAGTTAGCAGAACATATGGGCGCAAGGTTGGACCCACATCGTTTCGAATGTCGTGGGGAACACTGCGTTCTGTGATAAGCTGCCTGACAATCCAATCTTTAGGTGCCATGCTTGCAGTTTGACAGAATCGGTCAGCGAAACGACGTTGTGGGAGATGGCTGTTCGCAGCATGCATGCATCCCTACACGTCTCGTTGTCTCCGAATTTGGACTGCTTGTAGAGACCGTACAGCTTCTCCTGGTCTGCTATGGACATCGACGATGGCAGATCCTTCATCGCCTCCTCGGCGGCTGCCTCAAAGTCCTCCTGCGCTCCCAGAGAGCCTTATCAGCACCCAGCAAACTCAGACAACGTTCTGTTTTGGAGCTTTGGCCCAAAGCAATACTTGTCAAGCTCCAGCGCATTTTCCCTCTTGCACAATGTTGCTAGGCAAGGGTGCTAAGGGGCCGCCTCAGACGGCCTGTGCGACAACAGGTGCGAAGCTCACGTCGATTGCTCTCCAATGGCAGCTTCTGAGTCACAGAATCCTGCACACCTGGAGCCCCATCGCTGCGCAGAACCAACAGCCCTGTGTCCCTGTAGCTTGATTGGGTTGGGAGACCGTTGAAAGGCTTCCCTTCCCAAGCGTGGCAATTGGGCACGTTCAAGTATTGTTCGCAACCGCAGTACAAAGCGCCCCTGTTTGCTTGATTGGGTTGGGAGATGTGCTGAGCAGGTTACTATTTTTTTTGCGACAGTGAAATTGTTTTTTTTGCGACATGTTCTTTTTTGCGACAGTGGCGATAATTGATGCGCGAGATGTTGGCATCAGATGTAATAGCCGGTGCCCTCGATAGGCAGCACAGCAGCCGGCCCACTCGCGGATGCCCGGCAGGGGTGCGCGCTCTCAAACGGCCTCCCAGGCCACACGACAGACTTGACCCCAAGCCAAGCATTCATTACAAAGCATGCTATTCTTTTATAGGTACTCTCTCGATCCCCCGGAATTAGAATGTACACCCGCTGACGAACAGCTTCACCGCTGTCATCCAGATTCGCACCGATCACCACTGACCTCCCGACCGATCCTACCAGAATGAAATCCCACGAACTCCCTATGATATCTTCACCCCGTTCCTCACCCCAAATCCTGGCACCCTTTCCTCCACCAATCCTCTAGGCCGGCCTACCTGGACCCGTCCGCCCGCCGGCGTTCCTAGGGTCCCTACCCACTAACTCCCTCATACGCCCTTACTCCCTCGTTCCTACCTATTCCGCTCCAAGACCTCCGACCCACTTCCCATCTCCCCACTTCACTACTCATGCCCCCTCCCCACAGTCTACCGGTTCCTACTCAGCACCTTTTCCCAACAGTACCCCCCCTCTGAAGTTTGAGCCTCCGGGCGAAATGCCGATGAATGACTAATCCAGGAAATCATCGAGCGTCCTATTCCGTTCGAAGAGGGTGGGGCCGCGCACTCGGAAGTCCGGGGGATCAGGTGGACCCAAGGCTAAGGCCCAAATCCCGGGTCGTGCGTAGATGTACACTCCCCCAGCTTCACCACGGGTGACCCAGCGCCCTCCGATCCATCGCGCTCGCGACCGTCGCGTAACTTCCCGGATGTGAGCTGCCCGTTCATCATAATCCGAGGCCATGTCCAATCCCCCCATCTCCGTCCAACCCGCATTCCACCAAGAATCATGTTCTGCTTTATCCGCGATTGCGCGATCCACGTCTTCTGGCCACCACTCAGAATTACGGATACCGGCCGCGGTCACGTCGCCCTGATGCGCCGGCGCGCGAAACCCTGACTGCGCGCGACTCTCGTTCCCCAACCTCCGGTCCTCGCGGAAACTTCCCTGGCGATCCCCTTCCTGACCATCGTTTGACACCCAGGCCGCCACAGCATCGGGCGTTCTCCGTGCGAGGCGGTCCTCCACACTCTCCAGACGCCGCTGCATAGTGGTCATCTCACGCCTCAACAAACGAAGGTCTCGCGCGATTCGCGACAACATATCCTCCTCCTCTCGAGTGGCATCCGTGTCCGTCGGAGTCAGCGGTCCCCTCAACTCGGCCTCCCGCGTCCTCATCCGGACCGCGCCCCTCGACTGGGTCCGCGACGGCGCCGACACGTCCGCCGGCTGCGATTGAAGCTCCCATGCCTCGTCCGCCTCCTCCTGGGCCGCGAGTCCAGACCCCCCGCGCAACGGCCACGTCTCCATCCCCGCGTGCCTCCAACGCGCTCGGACTCCGTGGGCCGCCCCGATCGCGTACGCGATAAGGCTTGACCTGATGGCGTGCAAATAACCTTTCGCGATGCGCCACGCGTACCTTGACCGCCCCCAGCCGGCCAGTCCACGTCACCTCAAAAGGCCCCGTCCACCTGGCCCCCAACTTGTTTGGTCGTACCTCCCGGCACACCAGCACCCGGTCCCCGATGGTCACGGGGGCACCTTTATGTCGTGGAGCCCTCCGCACAACTTCCTGACGGGCAATGGCGGCACGTCGAATCTCTGCCAGCCTGGCAGCATGCTCCTGTTGTCCCGCATCAGCAGGGGTGCCATCGCGCTCGCCTTCCTCCATTAGTTGGCACTGTTCGCGCAAGGCCAGCTCCAATGGTCCTCGCGGCACGACACCCGTCAGCATTGTCAAAGGGCTCTCGGGATAGTCTCGAGTCACCCTCGCATTCGCAGAAAAAACGGCGCCAGCCAATGCGTCATCCCATTCCTGTCCGAATCCCATCTTATGCAATCGCTCCAGGAGTTCCCGATTGGCCCGCTCCACTTTTCCGTGACTCTGCGGATAATAGGGCGCTGACCAGGACCTCTTGACGTTCCAACGAGTGCATAGCTCCCGAAATGCTCCGAGGAAGTGGGATCCATTATCGGTTTGCACTCGCAGGGGCACCCCGTACTTGAAAACCACTTCCATTGCGAAAAACTGCGCAGAATTCGCCGCAGTCGCTGCCGGGTAAGCTTTCGCGGACAGGAATCCGGTGAACCCGTCGATCGCCACTATCAAGCATGAATTACCCTTGCTGGTCTGCGGAAGCCCGAGGATCCAATCGATCTGCGCCCACTCCCACGGCTGCGAGGCGATAATGCGACCCACCGCCTGCGCCGATTTTTTAGGCACGTGCCGCTGACAAATCTCACAGCTCGCGACCCATTTCTCGACGTCAGCCCGCATACTAGGCCACCAAAACTGTTGTGCCAACCTGCGCAAAGTAGCATCTCGTCCATAGTGACCCCCTACGACGGAATCATGCCCCTGCAGTAAGGCATTAGGAACCTCCTGCTCCAATAGACACAGGACCTGCCCTTGTACCGGAAGCTGCTTCATCAATCGCCCCCCGACAATGCGATACTCTAAAGGCTGCGGATTCGCCAGCACCCACTCCGCAATCTCCTTATACCAAGGACTGTTCATAAAGCGGTGGAACTCAGCGGGAATTTCCAGATCCCTTGCAGCGAAACACAAGTCATCCACCGCAGCGCTGGACTCGGTGCTCTTAGGGGCCACCAATCGCGAGAGCCCATCAGCATTACCGTGCTGCTTCCCCGCTCGCGAGACCAACTCCAGGTCGTATTCCCCCAGAATTACTTGCCAACGCGCGACGCGACCCGTATGGCCCTCCTTCTGTAGAAGCCCCTTGACTGGCTTGTGATCAGTACGGACCAAGCAGCAATTGCCCAACACGTACGGGCGGTACTTTACCACACCCACGACTACAGCCAAACACTCTCTCTCAGTGGTTGAGTAATTCTGCTCAGCCCCGGTCAATACTCGCGAATGATACGCGACGGGACGTTCCATACCCGTGTGGTTCTGCGACAACACACACCCCACCGCAACCGCACTGGCATCACAATCGAGAATGAAAGGGCGAGAGAAGTCGGGCTTCGCCAAAATGGGCGCCTCGCACAGTTTCAGTCGCAGCTGGTCAAATGCAGCCTGATGCTCCGATCCCCAATCCGAACTCACCACTTTGCTTCTCGCTCCCATGGCTGCCACCAGTTGACTCAACGGCCTGGCGATTTCACTGAATCCCTTCACAAAACGCCTATAGTATCCTGCCAACCCCAAAAACGATTGGATCTGCTGCCGAGTGGCAGGAGTCCCGAAATCACGGATTGATGAGATTTTGTCTTGGACCGTTCCCAACCCCTCCCGCGAAAGAGTGTGTCCGAGGAACTCGAGTCGCTCAAATCCAATGTGCGTTTTGCTAGGTTTGAGCTTAAGCTTAAACGCCCGTGTGCGCTCCAGAAATTGGCGCAGATCCCCAGTGATTCCGTCTTCCCCCTTATGCGCCATGCCCGCATCGTCTACGAAGGACCTCACCCGTTCCAGCGGTCCGTATGCGGCCTCTACTATGCGCGAGTACCGGGGTGGGCCATTACACACCCCAAAGGGAAGGACGTTCCACACGAATACCCCTAAAGGCGTGAGAAATGCTGTCAAAGGCCTCGAAGCCTCGTCCACTTCCATTGCGTAATATCCGCTGTACCCGTCAACGCTGGAGTACAGTGGGGCGCCGGCTAATTCCTCCAAGATCTCGTCTACCCGCGGCAACGGAAAGGAATCGGGTAGCGTCGCACGGTTCAACGCCACGAACGTACAGCACAGCCTCAATTCCCCATTCTTCTTGGGAGGCAATGGCACCCCGGAAAGCCATTCGGTCTCTCCCTCCCATTTTTCGATGAACCCCGCCTCGAGCAACGCGGTGATCTGCTCCCTCATAAAGTCCAACTCTTTGGGCGCGAATCGTCGCTGGCGGCCACACCGAACCGGTCGACTCCCTTCTCGCAAATTAATCGCAAACTTCATGTACGGAGTCTTCTCGAGGTCAGCGAATGACAGCGCAAAACAATCTTTGAATTCTACGAGCACCGACTTGATGTCCTCGACTGCACCCGAACTCAAAGTAGGACCAAAATGAATTTCCTCCAACCACAGGTTGTCGGTGTCATCCCGGATACGTGGGAGACCCGCGAATCGCGCTGGCGAACCCGAATCCTCTTCCCAATTCCCAGCATGACTCATACCCCATTGCGCGAGGAGCCCGTCCAATTCTCCTACCGCGTCTTCCTGACCTGAATCCGAGTCAGAATCCTCCCCCTCGCCTGAATCGCTGCTGCCACTACTTGCGTCCACATTGATCACCTCCAACTGGCGCCCGCGTTGCCGAACCTGCACCTCTCCCCCAGCGAGGGAGTAAATCTGCGAATGGAACTGGGCCCCCGTGTTAGTCAGGGCTAACCAGTCCTGCCCTAAGAGCACATCGTATGACCCGTTCGCATCGACGCAACGCGCGGGCACCGAGGCA